GTAAATAATTGATTAATGTCATTCGTCTAGAATACTTGACTGTAAATTAACTATGTGTAAATATCTGTTTTTGATTGTATTGTGATGTGTGTGTGGTTTCAGCGAAGATAAGTTTGTTGTAACTAACTATAATTGTTTACTCTCTTTAAATAAAAGAATTTATACTATTATTTTTTTTATAATAATTATTATTATGATTGTATGAGAGTTTGTCCGGGTATTTTACTATGTTATAACATTAATTGATTGATGGATTTTGAGTATTTTCGTCACTTTCATCATGTTCATCATTACAAAGTCTGTTTTTGTCTCGCCTGCGACGAAAGTCACAGTATGCCGGACATAGGTATTACTATCCAGCGGCAGCGTAAACTATTTGAATAAAGATTTATATTTCAGATGGTAGAAGACCTGGATGGTTCATATTTTGTAAATAGAGACCTTATGTTTCGAAGTTTCCGTCGGTCATATGTTCAATGTCATTGACCTCATTTTCATTGTTCAGTGACTGCTTGTAAAAAAAAAGATTTTTTTTTAATGTGAATTTCTTACTTATTATGAGTAATAGGATAACTATATTTAATACATGTGTATGGGTTTGCTGCAACGACTACGTGTCCGTCAGACCGGCCCATACACCTGACCTTGACCTCATTTCATGGATCAGTGGACAAGGTTAAAGTTACGTGATGGGGTCAGTTTCAAATACTGTAAGCAGTAGGATTTATAACTATACGTGGTGTATGTAATTACTGTAATAGATACATGGCAGTCTTTTTTTTTTTTAGTTTTTTGTGTTTTTCATGTACTATTAGTAATAGGTCAACTATATTTAGTGTATACACCGATTGTAAGGTATACATGTAGTTCTAGCCAGTATTACATGTATTATCTGACCTTGATCTCATTTTCATGGTTAATTGGTCAATGTTAAGTTTTTGTGTTTTGGTCTGTTTTTCAAATTCTTGATGTAATAGGTCAGCTATATTTAAGGACTGAAATAATTGTAAGATGAACATGTCTGTCTGGCAGACAGGCCCATACACCTGACCTTGATCTCATTTTCATGGTTAATTGGTCAATGTTAAGTTTTTGTGTTTTGGTCTGTGTTTCAAATTCTTGACGTAATAGGTCAGCTATATTTAAGGACTGAAATAATTGTGAGATGAACATGTCTGTCTGGCAGGTATTATCTGACCTTGACCTCATTTGCAGGGTTCATTGGTCAACGATACATTTTTGTATTTTTTTTTAGGTCTATCTGATCAGGGACTTTCTATACTACTGTTAGTATAGAAAGTCCCTGATCAGATACTATAAGTAACAGGTCAACTATATTTGGTGTATTAATTGATTGTTCAACATTACACAGACATGAGAACAGTCAGAACGACTGTAAGGTTTACATGTCTGTCTTGCCTTGGTTAGATAACCTGACTATGACGTCATTATCATAAAACAATGTTCAACATCACACAGACATGAGAAAAGTCAGAATGATTGTAAGGTTTACATGTCTGTCTTGCCTTGGTTAGATCATCTGACTATGACGTCATTATCATAGAACAAGGTTCAACATTACACAGACATGAGAACAGTCAGAATGATTGTAAGGTTTACATGACTGTCTGTCTTGCTTTGGTTAGATCACCTGACTATGACGTCATTATCATAGAACAATGTTCAACATTGATAATGTTAAGCTTGTGTGATACTTGTGGTAAAACCTTCATGATACAGACTTTCAACATAAATTTAATGATCAGTGAAACAATAGAGACAAACTTACAAAGACATGAGAACAGTCAGAACTTTATGCCTTTAATTACTCAGACACGGAAACAGTCAGAACTTACAGAGGTGATAACAGTCAGAAATACAGAGCCATGAGATCAGTCAGAACTTAGGGAGCTACCATTTGATTTTTATGGGGGGGGGGGGGGGGAGGGGGGGCTAGGATGAAAAATGTTGTCCTGCATTTTTTTTTAGTTGTAATCTCTGTCCTGCCTTTTTATTTTTCACTCTGTTCGGTCCTGCCTTTTTTTTTAAAGTTTATCCTGACTTTTTTTTTTTGCAAGTGTCTCGTCCTGCCCTTTTTTTTTTACTCAAAACTCCTGTCCTGCCTATTTTTTTCAAATTTCATCCTAGTCCCTCCATAAAAATCAAATGGTAGCTCCCTCATATTACACAGATATTTTAACACGCAATGGAAGATACATTATTATTTTAGTGCAAACGTTCTTGGATCATGGCTCACTAACAGCCGAGAAATAATAATTTTATGATTGTATTATATATCTCTGCTGACAGCAAGATATTACAAACACACGTGAACTTACACTGGTGATAAACATAACCAATGTGGTGTTTAAGTGTTTAATGTTTTACTGACCGCCAGATCTCACAGAGAGACATGTGAACACATACTGGTGATAAATCTAATTAATGTGGTTTAAGTGTTCAATGTTTTTCTTACAGCCCGAACTCACAGTGAGACATGTGAACTAACACTGGTGATAAACATAACCAATGTGGTGTATAAGTGTTCAATGTTTTACTGACCGACAGATATCACAGAGAGACATGTGAACACATACTGGTGATAAACCTAATTATTGTGGTGTACGTAAGTGCTCAATGTTTGACTGACAGCTAAAACTCACAGTGAGACATGTGGACACATGGTGGTGATAAACTCATTTAATGTTGTGTAAGTGTTCAAAGTTTTACTGACAGTTAGAACACATAGACATGTGGACACATGCTGGTGATACACCTTATAAATGTGGTGTATAAGTGTTCAATATTTTACTGACAGCTAGAAAGATACCAGAGTATCAGTCAAACTCATAAATCGAAAAATAAACTAACAACGCCATGGCTAGAAATAAAAAAGACAAACGGACAAACAATAGTACACATGACGCAACATATAAAACTAAAGAATAAGCAACACGAACCCCACCAAAAACTGGGGATGATATCAGGTGCTCCGGAAGGGTAAGCAGATCCTGCTCCACATGTGTCACCCGTCGTGTTGCTCATGTTATAACAAATCCGGTAAATAGTCTAATTCGATAGGTCACATTCATGAAAGGGAAGGGGATTGTAGTTACGACGTAAGGAACATATCCGATATCATCTGTGAAACGGTTGTTCCATAACGGTCAACCAACTCGTGATGGCGTCCGTAAAATTTACGGAGGGATGATTTCAACTTCACCATTTGGAACTCTTGGTTTAATAGCTTCCTTGTGAGCAGCAACCCTCTATCAAGAAAATCATGATAGGAAATACATGCACGGGAATATCGTATCAATTTGGAGATATATACCCCGTATGCAGGTGCTGCTGGAATGTTGCTACTTAGAAATGGAAAGTTCACAATTGGAAAGCTGAAATCATCTCTTTTGTCGTAAAGTTTTGTTTTCAACCGACCCTCATTGTCAATTTCTAGATGTAAGTCAAGATATAGAACTCACAATGAAACATGTGGACACATGCTGGTGACCTGATTAACGTGGTGTAAGTGTTCATTTTTGTACTGATAGCTAGAACTTACAGAGAGACATGTGGACACATACTAGTGATAAACCTAATTAATGTGGAGTTAGTGTTTAATGTAATACTGACAGTTAGAGTACAGAAAGAGACCTGTGGACACGTGCTGGTTACAAACCTAATAAACGTGGTGTAAGTGCTCAATGTTTCACTGACAGCCAGAATTTACAGAAAGACATGTGTACAAATACCGGTAATAAACCTATTTAATGTAGTGTATTTTAAAGTTCTCAATCTTTTTCTTACATCCAGAACTCACAGAGAGACATGTGAACACATACTGGTGATAAACATAATTAATGTGGTGTGAGTGTTCAATGTTTTAAATTAACTGACAGCCAGAGTCTTAAAATTAGTTAGAACTTCTTCAAAAATATGATACGAAATAGTAAACATATTTCAAGTCCACGAGGTACGAAATCTTAGATGCATTTGGTCGATAGGGTACGAAATGGTAATTTTGGGTATGAAATGGCGGAGGTACGAAACGGCTACTAGGGTACGAAATTGTTTTCTAACAGTGGTGCTTCTGTCAGAGGCGGAACTTACCGATTAGGCAATGAACATGTACAAAGAATGATAAAGTTAGTCTCATTCCCTCGACTTATATTTGCCCTGTAAATTAGACCGAGTAAGTCTATCAGATACTATAAGCATGTGATACTTGTGGTAAAACCTTCATGTTACAGACTTTCAACACGAATTTAGTGTTACCTTGAGTAAAACAGGCGTACATTTCAGTACGTGCACTCTGTTATTTGTGGAAGAAGCCGCTGTCTTCGGAATAAACGATCGTTGACAGACAAATATAGAATATGCCGTAGATAGAAACGTTTCTACACACGTTTAACACAGCAAGGAAATCCGCACTCGGAGACGGGCTTCAGCTGGCCCCATAACAAAATGTATACTTGTTCAATGAAAATAAACTACATAATAACAAGTATTTAATATTTCAATAACAGTCAGAACTTATAAGACATGTGAACACATACACACGTGTTGCAAATGTTCATTTTGTGAATGACATGCAGTTAACGCTTACAGACATTCGAACACATTCATATAGACATGAGAACCGCCAGAGCTTACACAGACATGAGGTCCGTCAGACCTCACATTTTAGGCATGATCATAACAGTCAGAACTTACATAGACATGAAAATAGTCAGAGCTTACACAGAGAAGAGGTCTGTCAGATCTTACACAGACATGATCACAAGTTAGAACTTACATAGACATGATCACAAGTTAGAACTTACATAGACATGAAAAAAGTCAGAGCTTACAGAGACATGAAAACAGTTAATACGTATAGACATGAGAACTGTCAGCTAGAGCTTACACATACTTGATAACAGTCAGAACTTACATAGACATGGGAAGTTTGGGAACAGTCAGAACTTATAGACATGAGAACCGTCAGAACTTACATAGACATGAGAAACGTTAGAACTTACAGACATGAGAACCGTCAGAGCTTACACAGACATGAGAACAGTCAGAGCTTACACAGACATGATCATAACAGTCAGAACTTACATAGACATAAAAACAGTCAGAGCTTACATAGACATGAAAACAGTCAGAGTTTACATAGACATGAAAACAGTCAGAGCTTAAAGAGACATGAAAACAGTCAGAGCTTACAGAGACATGAAAACAGTCAGAACTTACATAGACATGAAAACAGTCAGAATTTACAGAGACATGAAAACAGTCAGAGCTTACACAGACATAAGGTCCGTCAGAGCTTACACAGACATGATCATAACAGTCAGAACTTACATAGACATGAACACAGTTAGAACGTATAGACATGAGAACCGTCAGAGCTTACACAGACATTAGGTCCGTCAGAGTTTACGTGGACATGAGAACAGTCAGAACTTACGTGGACATGAAGAGTCAGAACGTATATTTATAAGCACAGTCAGAGCTTACAGAAATTAATGGAAACAGTCAGAACTTATAAACATGAGAATGGCCAGACATGCACACAGACATGAGAACAGTCAGACATTACACAGAAATGAGAACAGTCAGCACTGATAATATATCTCTGCTGACAGTCAGTTCTTACATGTACAGAGACATGCGGACACAAACTGGTGATAACCCTAATTAATGTGCCCGTGGTGTATGTGGTAAAAGTATTCAATGTTTAACTGACAGCTTAAACTTACAGAGAGACATGTAGACACATACTGGTTTATAAACCTTATTAATGTGGCGTAAGAGTGCAATTTTTCACTGACCATAAGAACTCACTAAGAGATATATGGACATATACGGGTCACGGGTGATAAACATAATTAATGTAGTGTAAGTCTTCAATGTTTTACTGACAGATAAAACTGTAAACACATACCGGTGATAAACCTTATTTAATGTAGCCGGTGTATTTTAAAGTTTTTAACTTTTTTCTTACATCCCGAACTCACAGAGAGACATGTGAACACGAACTGGTGATAAACATAATCAATGTGGTGTGAGTGTTTACTGTTTTAAATTAACTAACAGCCAGATTCTTAAAATAAGTTGGAACTTTTACAAAAAAAAATGATACGAAATAGTAAACATGTTTAAAGTCCATGAGGTACGAAATCTTAGATGCATTTGGTCGATAGGGTACGAAATGGTAATTTTGTGTGTGAAATGGCGGAGGTACGAAACAGCTAGGGTACGAAATTACTTTCTACCGGTGGTGCTCCTGCCAGAGGCGAAACTTACCGATTAGGCAATGAATATGCCCAAAGAATGATAACGTAAGTCTCATTCCCTCGACCTATATATGCCCTGTAAATTAGACCGAGTAAACAAACGATTGGTCTTCTTTCCACTAAATACATGTAAACTCAACTATTTAAAGAAAAACACAACACAAACTTATGTTTGTTGACTAGCTCGTGTACTGCAAATTGTGAGCTGCCGATTTAATAAGACAAATGATCAATATAAACATATTATACACCATACAATGTGAATACAATATCTTAATTGTTCAAGAAAAATAAACTCGTGTTAACCCTTTGTATTTAAATAACTGAATAACTGAATGTTTTGTGGCCGATCAGGATAACCCATTTGGGAAACCTGCGTCCTTTTGTCAATGCCAACGAAACTCTAAGTGTTGGATCTCACTTGTCAAATGAGAAAAAGAAAACATAATTTTGTTTGTAAATATTGAAAATAGAAAAGAAATCGAGTCATTAAGACTCGGCGGCTAGAAAATATTTGGTACAAAAGTCGAGATACGATTACGTTTGTATAGCCATTCCACCTACATAAAAATCAATATATTTATCAAAATACAAAATTATGCAAATCTTTTTTCCTTAAAAAACCCTTAAAAAATATGATGTTCACAGTACGAAGTACAGGCTAGAATTAACAATATAAAACCGTCGCTTTACAACCTAATTTTTTGGCGCCAAAAATTTCTACGCCTACACTTACATGTATTACACATGCGCAAGAAGACAATCAATTCCCGTTATACTTATGTGCCTCGGGAATTTTTTATTCTTAGTACCGACCGTGCGAGGGCTGAAAAGCCAGTCAAGGTCGTTAAACACTTCCATCATCATCGAGTGTTCTTAATTATTTTAACAAACCGGAGACGGAGTGAAAAAAATGTATTGGTACACTTAAGTTGATACTGTTTATAACATAAAAACGAAGAATCTAGAATCCACTTGTACAAACTTGCTAAATCACAGATATTTTATTAAATGTCTCAGGCTAAATCATGTAAATTAAGAATGCCGAAATGGGTTGTAAAATTACATTGTATGAGACAAATACATGTTGCGTACACTAATGTAACTATCCACCAAAGTTCAAATGAAAGATGTTAATAAATCATATAAGCAACTTTGGTCAATCGTTTGAACTTCAACAATGAGAAAACCCCTTGACTAATCAGTCAATACACAGCACAAATATTAAGACACCCCACTAGTCCAAATAATTATGTCGCGGCGTACGTCCCAGATAAAAAAGTTATTACCAGATTTCATAATTATTTGGACAAACACCCCACTAGTCCAACGCTCCATTAGTTTTAACACCTTATTGGTCTGACAGCCCAGTAGTCCAACTCTGTCTGTCTGTCTGTCTGTCTGTCCTTTTTCCAGACTTTTTTCCTTTGTGTGTGAAGATTTTGATTTGATATTTTTATGTAGTTTACAACATGACAAGTTATAGATCAAGTTAGAATTTCGTTCCATTACAATAATTTTTAACCGTTAGGGGACTATGTATTGCCATGCAATACTAACTGAATGCTTGTTATGAATAAGAAGATGTGGCTGTATATATGTAAATGAGACAACTTTCCACCACATAATTTAAATCATTTACGAACATTCTTTTCCTTATGAATGAAGAAAACGTGAGGTATACATCAATGTATGGAATTAAGTAACCCAAACAAGCAGATGCCTAAATGCAGAGAATGTTCAAATGAATATTTTATGTGAAAATTTCAGAAAAGTATCAAAAGATTTATGTCTTTGTTTTATTATTTTGTTCCTTACAGAGTTGTACAAGATCATGCATTTACATTAAAAAGAATGTATGAGGTAGAAGATTTCGTCACAATCAATGGTACACAACAGAGACACATAAGAACACAGACTGGTACACTTCATAAATGTGATGTGTGTCCTAGAGAATTTAGTCAAAGTAGTCACTTGAAGAGACATGTGAAAACACATACTGGCAAAAAAATTCATAGATGTGACGTTTGTCCTCGAGAATTTGGTCAAAGTAGTCACTTGAAGAGACACGTGAAAACACATACTGGCAAAAAACTTCATAAATGTGATGTTTGTGGTAGAGAATTTGACCAAGGTAGTCACTTGAAGAGACATGTGAAAACACATACTGGCACACTTCATAAATGTGAAGTTTGTCCTAGAGAATTTGGTCAAAGTAGTCACTTGAATAGACATGTGAAAATACATACAGGTGATAAACCCCATATCTGTGATGAATGTGGTAAAGGGTTTAGTCAGCGTGGTAATTTACAAAGACACATGAGAACACATACAGGTGAAAAAACTTATGACTGTGATGTATGTGGCAAAAGATTCAGTCTTCTTAGTAATTTACAAAGACACATAAGAATACACACAGGTGAGAAACCTCAACATGTTCATGATTGCGATGTATGTGGCAAAGAGTTTAGTCAGCTTAGTGATTTACAAAGACACATGACAATACATACAGGTGATAAACCTTATGACTGTGATGTATGTGGTAAAGGGTTTAGTCTGCCTGGTAGTTTACAGATTCACATGAGATCACACACAGGTGATATACCTCTTGAGTGTAATGTATGCGGTAAAAAAAAGTTTGCTTATCATACTAATTTAAAGAGACACATGAGAACACATACATGACAGGTGATAAACTTCATGACTGTGATTTATGTGCTTAAGGTTTAGTCAGCACTGTAATTTACAGACTCACATGAGAACACACACAGGAGATAAACCCTACGACTGTGATGTATGTGGTAAAAGGTTTAGTGAGCAAGGTGAAAAACCTCATGCCTGTGATAGATGTGGTAAAGGGTTTAGTCACATAAGTGATTTTCGGAGACACATGAGAATCATGACATACAGGTGATAAACCTCATTACTGTGATGATGTGGTAAACGGTTTAGTCAGCATAGTTATTTACAGAGTCACACGAGAACACATACAGGTGATAAACCTTACAACTGTGATGAATGTGATAAAGGATTTACTGATTCTAGTAATTTACAACATCACATGAGAATAACTGTAATGTGACTGTGTGGTAAATGGTTTAGTCAGCATAGTAGTTTACAGAGTCACATGATAATACATAACCTCATGACTGTGATGTATGTGGTAAAGGGTTTCGTCAGCAATATAATTTACGAATTCACATGAGAATACATACAGATGATAAACCTTTTGACTGTGATGTATGTGGTAAAGGGTTTAGTCGGATTGGTAATTTACAGAGACACATGAGAACACATACAGGTGATAAAACGCATGACTGTAATGTATGTTGCAAAACGTTTACACTTCCTAGTAATTTAAAACGTCACATGATAATACATACAGGTGATAAACCTCATGAGTGTGATGTATGTGGTAAAGTGTTTAGTCGGCTTGCTTATTTACAAAAACACATGATAACACATTCAGGTGAACAACCTCATGACTGATGTGTATGGTAGAGGGTGAATTAAAGGGACACATGAGATCACAGAACTATAATGATGAGAAAACCAAAGACTGTAATATATGTTGTAAAAGATTATTCATTGTTGGTTAGTAATTAAAAACGTCCCATGAAAACACATACAGGTGTTAAAACTCATAAGTTAACTGTGATGTATGTGGTAAACGATTTAGTCGGCTTGGGAATTTCCAGAATCACATGAGAACACATTCGGGAGATAATCCTTGTGAATGTTATATATGTGGCAAGGGGTTTATTCAGCATGGTCATCTAAAAATACACATGAGAACGCATACAGGTGATGAACCTAATAACTGTGATGAATGTAAAGGGTTAAGTCGGCTTGGAAATTTACAAAGACACATGAGAACAAATATAGGTGAAAACTGAAAACCCCCATGACTGATGTATGTGGTAATGATTTAATTCGTCTTCGTAATTTACAGATTTACATGAGACACAGTAATTACATGTAGATACATGTAGTTGTCAATTATTGCTGCATTTATATTTGTTTTTCGTTGACTGTTTTGTAATAATCAGTATAATATAAAATAAGTGCGTTAGTTTTCTCTTTTGAAATGTTTTACACAAGTGTTTTATACTTTGTCATTCCGGGTTCTCTAAACATGCTAAAGCTTGCTATGCAGTTTGTGTTTTGCTCATCGTTGAAGGTCGTACGATAACCTAATATGAGGAAGGCGCTACCTTAAATGCCAGCTTTATACCAAGACTTTGTCCTATATATTGATTGATTGTTGGTTGCTTAACGTCCAGTGGCAAACATTTCATGCCTGTGCAGGATGAATGTCCTACATAATGCCAATAGTTTTTGTCTAAAATAAAATAATAAGTTCAGATGAAAAATGTTTATGGAACGATCATTTAACTTCAAAAGGGAGGAGGGGGGTATGGTAATTTTCTTGTCCAAATAATTATGACGTCTTTTTTATTTGATAGGTCGCAGGAAGGCATCAACAGCTAAAATTTAAAATAGCCTACCTAGACGTCATTATTATTTTTTTATCTTTGCAACATCGCAGGAGACGTCTGACAATGGAAAAATTTAATATAGCATTCCTAGACAACAAAAGTTTTTGGACTAGTATTTTTTTCAAAAAAAATATTCTGATTCCCAAATTGATGAAAAAAAATATTCTGTTCAAGCAGAGGAGCAAACAAATTATTCTGAATCCAGATTTTCCACATACTAGTATCTTCTAGTGTTATATTTTGACTAACTAATTTTGATTGATAACATTGGAAGCGCTTCGCATGTAAAAAAATCTGACTCAAACAAAAAAGCATAACATTAATAACAACATGACAAAAACATTATGACATTTGTTAAATTTCAAAAAATATGAATACTGTTATACAATCCATAAATTTATTAACTTTTTTTTGTCGATTTTCATGGATGCTATTTAAAATTTGAGGGGATAACGCTGCTCAGCAGAATAAATGTATTCCTGATCATCTTCTGTTTGTGGGTTTCTACGTCAATGTAATGTACATGTACTAATTCAGAGACAGCTTTAAATCAATTCTTGCATTTTGTGTTATGAGCTTTCTTTTCAAGTTGATGGCAAGATAAAATTGAGAATGGAAATGGAGAATAATGTAAAAAATTTGCTTTCGAGTAATGCTATCATGTCGCTGTTGTTGTCCAAAGACACATTAGGTTTGCGGCCAATAACTTTAGTTTAAGTGAATGGACCTCTATGACAAATGTATAAAATTCTACCAGAAGGTTCAATACAGAAAAGGAAGGTAAGAATTGATTTTGGGGGTTATGGTACCAACAGATTAGGAGTCAGTTGTCATAAACAACATTTTTGGGTTGTTTTTTCCATAATTTTTGCATCAAATACTGATATCACAGGAGATTATACAAACGAAACAGGGCGTGTAAGTTATTTTACCTGTAATTAGTACATTTTTCCTGTGATGTGTACTCCTTGATAATGTTGACGTAAGTATCAGTGGACTGGTCATGATTAAGAAAATATACTGGGTCAGTTTACAATTGACATACGCCAGTGCACCGCAAAAGGATATTCTAACCTTTAATTCACAAAGTTGCGCATGCCTTTTTTCACAGAAACCCACGAGATATTTCAGTAATAAAAACTTAGTTTAGCCCTTTTGAATGATTCCCTGATTGTGTGAAAATTTGAAAAGAAAATGTATGATAAACCTAATAAAGTTGCGTTATCTGAAGAATTATTGATAGATTTCCTTACTATTTATAAAGACATATAACTAAAATAGGGACGAAAGATACCAAATAACATATCGTCCATGCTATTCTGATTTGAGTTTTTATTCATACATAGTCTTGCATGGCTGGTGCTGTTCCAAGTTGTCTTCTTTTTCTTCATGTTTCTTGAGAAGCATTTGTTTGACCTGGCCAGTCACTAAAAAGTGTTACAATTCATATTTAGACGCAACACATAACTAGTGACCGAAAAGGTACTGCTTTCACATGCATGACATGCAAGAGAACCTAGAAAAAAATTAAACGTACATGTACACATTTTCAACATTTTTGTTAGACTGAGACTATCATATAAAATAAGGAGCTATGTACGACAAAAGGGACGATTTTTCGTTCCCTATTGTTAATTTTCCATTTTTAGATTGTGATGTTCCTTTGGCACCATCTTACGGTGTTTATATTTCACAGCTCGTTCGCAATGCCCGTGTCTGTTGTGACGTTTTTTATTTTAACGAACGCAATCTATGTATTACACTAGACTCAAGCTGGCAGCCACTTTTAGCAGCCAATCAAGATAGCAGCCACTTTTTTCCAGCAGCCAATTTTGATGATATGTATAAAAACCAAAAAAACTGTAAAAGACTCAAACGTTCCGAATATATCAAAATCTTAGTAAAATGAAGTTTAACAGCGAAATTTGACAATTTCACGGCTTGTAGTCATTCTCAAAGGATTTCAGTCCGTTCTAAATACCAATAATGATAGCAGTCACTTTTTTGTTGGCAGTTGTAAGGAATCGTGTTATATATATAATTCCAACCAATTTGGAATGAATAAACAAGATGCAATGCACAATAGAAAAGTTACATACATGCTTTCCATAAACTCGGCATCCTCAAATATCAAGTATTTTCGCTGAAATCATTTTTAATATTTATTTTTGTACATATGAAATGAAAACATTTTGATGTCCTTGTAATTGTTATCTTTATTTTAATGTGAACAAGTATTTTCACAAAACCCCTGCGTGGACTATTTTGTACGGCATGCATCATTACCAAATCATTGAATTAAAACTGAAATTTTCCTTGTCAAATGTGCCAGTACAAATAATTGACATATAGCTAAAACTGTGGTTAGACGGGCCCGGATCCCAGAAAAATATTTAAGCGGGGAATAACCTAGGTCAGCACCTTTAAAATAAGCTAGGTCTGGTTCGAAACTTTGCCGTAGGGAATTGCCGAGGAGTACCGAAAGCATGTGTAGTTAATACGAAAAGTACGTATAGGGACAACTTTGAACCCCTGTGGTGGCCAGACGTATTTTTTTCTATAACAACAACTTTGAAAATCTACAAATACCGAATGGCCTAACTCCCAAAAAAACCTTCCAGTGGGCCCTTCCCTAAGTTATTACCTTTCATTTGAACCATGTCCGGTAGCGAACTTTGCCGTACGAAGCTGGCGAGGCTTACCGAAAGAGTGTAAGGTGGAGACGTATTTTTTCTATAACAACAACTTTGAAAATCTACAAATACCGAATGGGCCTAACTCCCAAAAAAACCTTCCAGTGGGCCCTTCCCTAAGTTATTACCTTTCATTTGAACCATGTCCGGTAGCGAACTTTGCCGTACGAAGATGGTGAGGCTTACCGAAAGAGTGTTAGGTGGAGACGTATTTTTTCTATAACAACAACTTTGAAAATCTACAAATACCGAATGGCCTAACTCCCAAAAAAACCTTCCAGTGGGCCCTTCCCTAAGTTATTACCTTTCATTTGAACCATGTCCGGTAGCGAACTGTGCCGTTCGAAGATGGCGAGGCTTACCGAAAGAGTGTAAGGTGGGGACGTATTTTTTCTATAACAACAACTTTGGAAATCTACAAATACCGAATGGGCCTAACTCCCCAACAAACCTTCCAGTGGGCCCTTTCCTAAGTTATTACCTTTCATTTGCGCCATGTCCAGTAGCGAACTTTGCCATACGAAGCTAGCGAGGCTTACCGAAAGAGTGTAAGGTGGAGACGTATTTTTTCTATAACAACAACTTTGAAAATCTACAAATACCGAATGGGCCTAACTCCCCAACAAACCTTCCAGTGGGCCCTTCCCTAAGTTATTACCTTTCATTTGAGCCATGTGCAGTAGCGAACTTTGCCGTACGAAGCTAGCGAGGCTTACCGAAAGAGTGCAAGGTGGAGACGTATTTTTTCTATAACAACAACTTTGAAAATCTACAAATACCGAATGGGCCTAACTCCCCAACAAACCTTCCAGTGGGCCCTTCCCTAAGTTATTACCTTTCATTTGAGCCATGTGCAGTAGCGAACTTTGCCGTACGAAGCTAGCGAGGCTTACCGAAAGAGTGCAAGGTGGAGACGTATTTTTTCTATAACAACAACTTTGAAAATCTACAAATACCGAATGGGCCTAACTCCCAAAAAAACCTTCAAGTGGGCCCTTTCCTAAGTTATTACCTTTCATTTGAACCATGTCCGGTAGCGAACTGTGCCGTTCGAA